TTTTGCTTTCGTTGGGCTCTTGTGGCCTTCGCTTCGTGTTGTCATTAAAATGTAAATCCGTTTAATTAACATTTTATCCCCCCTTCTGGACCTCCGCCTCACTCCTCTTCCACCTTTCTGATCAAAATGAACAGCAACGACCACCGGCCGATAGGGCAGCCGAAAAGAATTGTTATAAATTGTAAATAAATTTTGACTTGGTCGGGGCCGTATTTCGGAATCGAAATTCGTTTCGATTGGCAGCTGCATCGTGAGAGTTTTGACATGTCCAGCAAAAGAGATTTTCGAATCTTGGGTGGCTATTTCTCGGTTTTTTTCTGATTTTGTTTTCTTCTTCTGATTTTGTTTTCTTTTTGGGTGGGGAAGCGAAGAAGGGGGAAGCGCAGGGGCTAAGCATTAAAATTATGCATAATTTACAGATTAATATGAGCATGGTGGCAGCATGGTGGCCCCCGGTCGGTGGATCTCTACTACTACTACCTGATCCGCTGCGGCGGCTTAATTAAGACATGGACTTCGAGGCTCGAGGGTCTTCATCTCTCACACTCACTCGCTGCGATTAAAAGAGTTTCGTTCGTGTTGATATTTATGGTATAGATAGCTCAATATGCATATCGCTTAATACTTAATACAGCTTAATAAAAAAAAAAAAAAAAACGAAGACCACGACGACGACGACGACAACTCAACTCGATCTCTCGGCTTAGTCATCATCAACATCATCAGAGGCGCTTCAATTATGCCCATAATTGGTCAACAGGTAGCCGAAAATGGCTGTGCTGCCTAATTGAGTCCGTTGGATGATCGAGAGTTTATCATTGTCATTGGTTTTATTTTTCGAGAAGCGGTGCCTTAGAACTCGCCATTGTACGAGATCATTGAACCAATGCTTCTTGATCCACTGGATCAACTGATCAATCGAACAACCGATCAAGCCATCAGTTTAGTCAAGCTGAGAGAAACATTTTGTTGATCACTTGCTGCCAATTTCAATTTGGCATCGATCTTCTTCACACGATCGATCGATCTCAGTACTTTTGTATTTTTTTGCCCAACACAACTTGGCGGCCAATTAAAAGCCAAGTTGGCCAAGTCCAACATTCACTCACGATCACCTTTTGCCAGAGTTCTTTGATTTTTACTATTTTTATTGCCATTTTGCTGAACTTTCCACTAGGAGACGACAACGACAACGACGACGACGACGAGTCGAGTTAAGTTAAATAAAGTGAAGTGAAGTCAATTCAATCTAACTGACGATCACCGTTAACTCGCTGGTTACATGCCAAATCGAATCAAAGTGTGAGTGATCATTCAATTAACCCAGCACGCCAGCAACACCAGCGATACAGGCAATACAGGGGCAGCAACACCAGCAACAACATCGACAACAACTCCACGACAGCAATCACACAAGGCAACAGCAACAGCAACAGCAACAGCAACAGCAGTGCCATCATCAGTTAAATTATGTGATAATATGCCAACAATGAGTGTGCAACAACAGCAACACCAGCAATCTCTCTCGGCAGCAACAGCGATTTTACCTTTTAGCAATCAACACGCAAAAGCCAAAAACAAACGTGCTGGGGAGTAGAGAGGAAAAGGAAAAGGAAGGTGTGTGCAGCAACAGCAACAGCAACAGCAACAGCAACAGCAACATCAACACAGCAGCAACAGGAGCTCAAGCTGGGTGCAGAGATGCATTCAGCACAAAACCATCAGCAATACACGTAGCAGAAACAGCAACAGCAACACGGAGCAACAGCAGCAGCAACACATGAAATTGTCGCACCATTTTTGGTATTGACCGCCGGCGGCTCAATCAGTTTGTCACCCGGGCGATATATAGAGTGATTAACTGCTCCATGGATTGGATTGTACTTTGTCAATATATGCCCACTGAGTAGCAATCATACAAAGCTCTGGAAACTGCTGCTGCTGCACCGGAGGAGAGGAACATGCAATTGAAAACGTGCCGCAATGCATATGTGCAATCATATATGTGCTAAAAATCTAGACAATATTTGATGCATAATTGCTTTGGGTTTTTGTTCGTCAATCAATTCAATCAGCGAATACAATCACGAAAGCAGAAGTAGTAGTAGCAGTGGAGGAGCAGCAGCAGTACCAGCAGGCAGCAGTAGTAGCAGCAGCAGGCAGTAGCAGCAGCACCAATCGCAGTTGCACTGCAGCAATCTGGTTGCTGCCCCGTTTGAGTGACGACAACTGGCGACGACAACGACTGCGTGGCGTCCGTGTAATCGCACTTCATGTCTAATTAGGCTTGTTTATGCCCATTTGGAATAAAAAAAAAAAAAAGCTCAGAGCACATATAGGAAACTACAACAGCAGCAGCAGCACTAGCAGCAGCAGCAACATCACCACTAGCAACATTGCATGCTTATATTTCTTTATGGCTATCTTCACGGTTATTTTCATTTAAATCGCAATTCAAACTCGGCACAAAATCAGCAAACAAAATGACATTTTAAATGACAATTTTGCGCCTTTTTGCCCCATGTGTGCATGGCATGGCGTGGCAGCCCAATGAAAAATTAACGTAATAATGCAAATTGTTTTATCAATAAATTCTAGACACACACACACACACACATTGGCACACGGCGTAATTATGATGATTGTTGAAATGAATTTATGTGTCAATAAATTTAAAGCAAATTAGCAAATGACGTTTTAAGTAGACGACGACAACGACGACGACGACTACAACGACGACGACGCGTTTTGCCTGCAATTTATGGACTGCGAATTTTTTTTTTTTGTTTTTCGTTTCAAGTTTGATGGATGATCGCCCGGCCATAAAGTGTTTGCCTTTAAAAGGCTTTCCAACTTCCAAAACGATTGGTTTGAACATTTTCCGAGGGGGGGTAGTGGCAAGAATGGGTATGGGGAGGTATAGAGGTATCCCCAAAAAGCGGGTGGAGCAAAAGCGTTTAGTTCAAAATGGCGGGCAATTAATCAGCTCTTTTGTTGGCATTCGGTTTGGCCTTTTGTGTTTCGGCATTTTGGTGTTCATTTTCATTTTCTTTTTTAGCTTTCTCGCTCTCGCTTTTGCTCTGAAGTGGGCTGGCAAAAACAAAGGTGGCTCCATAACTGATATGAAAACCATTTAAAAAAAAATCTATATTAATGGTAATAAAACGGCTGTTAACCAACTCGTCTTTAAGGTTAAGCCAGAATAACATGTTTTCTCAGTATTCTCAATATTCTAATCAATGGAAATCTTCATTTGCTTACATAAGCTATAGTTTAGTTAGTAGTATCTTCTAGTAACTCCTAGTATCTTCTCTCTACTGATTGTCTTTCTCCACAAATAAAGTCATAATCACTCCCTCTCCAAGAAGCCTTGGAGCTGTACACCATCCACCACTGAATCATCCTTGGACCACATCCTCCTGCTTCTGCTCCTGCTCCTGCTCCTGCTCCATCCAAACACCCAATGCCATTCACACACACACACACTCACACACAGCACTCTGGCATTAGTCACACCTTCGGGCCAACGAGAGTAGTCGCCATTGGTGGTCTTCGGTGTTTGGGGTCTTCGGTGTTGCGGGTCTTGGGGTTTTTTTTTTGGCTTTGGCTTTGGCTTTGGCTTTTGCTTTTTGGCGAGAGGCGTGCGAATCCGGCGCAGATACAAGATACAAGATACTCGTACTATGAGATACACATTGTGGGCCGTCTCACATTGTTTGCTCTCTTTGTCTCCTCTTGCCTGGCTCGTTCGTTGTTGGGGCAGCAACAGCAAAAGTTGTTTTTGTTTTTGTTTTTGTCGTATCCCTCCTACCTCCCCCCCTTTTGATTTTGTTTCTGTTTTTTTCATTCCAAATTACACGAACAAAATGGCGGCGGGTGCTGCTGCTTGTGGGGTCTCCACACGCAGCAGCAACAACTACAACAGCAACAGCAACAGACACAGCAGCAACTTGTCCGGGTTTTACTAGGCCTGTTTGTCGCTTAATCGAAGTCGAGCCGACGAGTTATGGTAATTAAAAAGGTGTTCCTTTCTGCAACAACGGATCGAAATGGATTGGGCAATATATATATATATATATATACCCTAATATATATCTACATAAAGCGGGGATATTGCAGCTTGCCTGGGAGGTCTTAATGTCTCCATCTCCCTCTCCCTCTCTCTCGTATACTCAGACACAGCCTTTTCTTCGCCGGCTGCCGTCGACAAATTCATATTTTATGACAACAACTTTGTATCGGCACAAGGCTCCCTCTCCTAGTAGAGTGTTCTCCCTTCTCTACAGAGAGATATACATATATACATATATCTCCTCCTTGATTTTCTCGTGCCTTTTGGTGGGTGGTCGTTGGCTGTTTTGCAAAATGTTGTTGGCCAATGTGGCCGTCGTCGATGTTGCTATTGCTGTTGCTGGCGTGGTAAAGTGAACGGCAGCGGCGGCAAATCGTCAGCAATGTCGCTGTATTTCTTTTCGGGGTCCCTCACCTAGGCAAATTTACGTTAATTGCACGGAGAGAAAAATGTTCTTTGATTAAAGAACAAAGTGATAATGCCTTTTGGGCTTATGCTATCAAGAGGGAAAGGGGAAAAGCCCTTACTAGCAGTCCTAATTCTACTTTTTTGATAGAATAACCTTAACACCTGAAACTCCAACCTTTTATGACTTATTTCTACACTTTTTCTCTCATAGAGAACTTACATTTCTAAAGTTTCCAAAGTTTCCTTGTCCAGTAAAGTTTAGCCTTTGTTTCCTTTGCAGTTTCTAAAAAAATTCCATAAATTAGCATATAATTTCTCTAAGTGTTAGGTTAGTTTCTTGCCATTCAAAGAGTTTTGTGAATTTCCACCTAGCCGTTCCTTGGTCTCCCGTTTTTGTTTTCCTTCGGTTGGTCGAAACGTACTAACCATATGGCCATCTGACAATTTCACTAATCCCCCTTTTTTTTTACCATTTTTCATTCTATTTTTATATACCCCCCATTCTCCGGCTAACTTATAGACGATCCTTAACTCGATGCACAAGTACCAGCCACGTTTCCACCTGGTGCGAGCCAATGACATACTGAAGCTGCCGTACTCCACGTTTCGCACGTACGTCTTCAAGGAGACCGAGTTCATAGCCGTCACAGCATATCAAAATGAGAAGGTATGTTTTGGATTTTTATTAATAATGCTAATTGATTACTTACATATATATATTTTTTTTACTCAACAGATAACTCAATTGAAAATCGATAACAATCCCTTTGCTAAGGGCTTTCGTGATACTGGTGCTGGCAAGCGGGAAAAGAAGTGAGTATCACTAGAGAATAGCTTGAGACTTCTTCGAGGGGTGGGATTTTTTATGTATTTTTGCACTTTTTGAGTTGGATCATCGCCTTAAAATATCAGAAAGAAAAATATGTTTTTAGTAAATAGAAAATGCAAAAAGAAGTTGAAATTTGATCAAAAATCAAACCTTGGCTTTCATAACGAGAAGAGACCCCGTAAAATTGTCAGCTGAAAAGGAAAAGAAAAAAAGAAAAACATTTAAATTAAAATTGACTTTCTTTTTCACATCATTTAGAGTTTAAAAACTAAACTTCTCCCTCCCCCAATTCCAACTTCTCTCTATCAACAACCCCTACCCTGAAAAATCATTATCAAAAAGCAAACTAATCAGGACATGGCTAATGGCAAAACGGTAGCCGAAGTGGGGTAAATTGTTGGCCTTTTGTGGCTGTCAGACAATCAAAAACTTTGCCAACTTTTCTCCCCTAGACAAGAACTCATTTGTCAGGGACCACAAGGCCCTGGTCCCTGGTCCCTGGCTATATCCTATCATATCGTCATTTACTACCAAACTATCAACTGCCAACTATCATCTACCATCTAAATCTCCATCTCAATCAGGCCAGCCAGCCAGGCAGTCAGTCAGTCAGTCAGCCAGCCAGTCAGCCATCCATCTATGTATCTTCATTCTGTGTTGTCCCCCCCCACTTTTTCTCCCCCTCTCCACCCTCTTTTGTGGCTTGATTAGCAGGCTAAAGCTACGTATTCTATGGATGTATCTGCTCAGATACACAGATTTACAGATACAGATACAAAGATACATTTACAGACAGAGACACATTAATTTTTGTCAAATCTATGCGGAACTAATTAGCCTGCAGCTTGTCAAATTGCAAGTCATACAAACTGGGGGGGCTGTACCCAGTGGGCGTGGCTGTTATGGAGAACCAATGATGACGATGATGATGATTATGCTGCTCTGCTGATGCTCATGGCCATTATTTGGCTTCTGGTTTTTCCGGGCTAAAATACTGATGACTGGCACCTCCGTTTGGCAGCCTCGAACATGTAATCCATATTGATGGATTGATTTCAATTTCCTGTCGATGGGCGAAAAAAAAAAAACAAAAACAACAAAAAAAGAAAACTCTCCCCCACCCGAAGGTCTGTTAACGATGATGGTCAGGAAAAGCTTTGAGTTTTTAGCACACAGATTTTCCAATTTCTATTTGCTGGCCCACACACCAAGGGGGGGAAGATCTGAGATCCCCGCATTCTCTCTCTGCCCCTTTTTTTCTGCTAACTTTTTCGAGTGGTTCCGGTTTCCTGTGACGCTCGGTGACTTAGCATAATGATGAATGACATTTAATAGCCAGCCCAATGTCCATGTCCATGTCCATGTCCATGTTGTCCAAACGTTACAAATCAATTTTCACCCACAGCAGCCACCCACAGACACTGTCTGGCGGGCGGGCACATCCATCCATCCATCCATCCATCCACACCGCATTTGACACAAACAATTTACTCAAGTCAACTTTCGGGGGGGTTTTTGGGTTTAGGGTTTTGGGTCTAAAACCAAGAACTGATTACTTCTGGCTTGATTGGCATTAGCGTGTCTGTCTAAACCTAAGCTCTAATTCAGCTTTTTTTGCCTTTACCCAAAAACAAAAAAAAATCACAGAACTTGCCTGGTCATTGATGTGACAGCCAGTTGTCAGGCTGGCTTGGCTGGCAGTCAGTTAACTCGACTTTACTTTACCTTCTTCTAACAATTGTTAATTAAATGGTGGAAAGCGAGAAAGAGAGAACCAGGAGTAGGAGGGGGAATGGGGTCAAAAAACACAACAAAACCGCTAAACCGCTTACAATTCCGCAGAGCCAAAAAAAAAAAAGGCCCAAAGTATAGAGGCAAAAGTTGAGTCCTGGGAGCTGCCAAAAATCCTTGGCAATTAGTGACGACTTAGTCAACTCTTTTTTTGTTGTTGTTGTTGTTATTGTTTTTGCAAGCAACCCTCTTTTCTAACTGCCACGCCCCTCTTGCCATGACAACAACAGAGGGAAAAGAGGGAAATATATCCTGGTTGCGCTGCATAGAATATAGGATGACGATGACGATGACGATGATGAGTCCTAGTCCTTCACAGCAAGAGATGCTAATTGGTGGCAATCTAGTGCGCAACTTCCGCCGGAATCATATTCAACTGCTGCGAGAATAGAAACCCCTTTTTCTGGCAAACTTCTTTAACCTCCCCTTCTGCCTCCTGCCACCATTGCCCTGCGGCGCAACGAGAACCGGAAATCCAAAGTGAAAACGTTTTAACAGCAGCAATTGAAATTCGCTTTTCTCGGGCGCCTTTTGTTGTTCCTGTTGCTTTGGGATTTTTGCACACACAAAAAAAATTAACTCTCACCCCATTCGGGCATCGCTATAGCTAAGCTAACCCGAGGCGTTGGTTGACAATGGGGGGGTCTTGGTCTCTGGATAAATATATATATATATATATATATAATTTTATATCCAGATACAGAAGGAGGGTTTTTGGGAGGCGGGCAGGCAGCAGGTTGGGCGTGCGTGGGCCGTTTAAGCCGCAAATTTAGACGTAATTCAAAAATTACAGAGCACACACACAAAACAGCGCAATTTCTTTTGGACCTCCTCATAGGGGGAAAATACCACACCCATGGCAATGGCAATAGCAACAACAACTCCCTTTTACTTGTAAAAGAGAAAGGGGAAGGGGGAGAAGGGGAGAGGGAGGTAGGCGTTAACTCACCGCCACACACAACAACAACAACAAATGGGAGACAAAAGGGCAATAGATAAACGTCTTTGGGCCGAATTTTATGGGCCCGCTGCATGAGAGTTGCAGGAGCGGATTGTGAGTAAGGAAAAGGGCCAAAAAGGGCTTGGAAAATTATATATTTTATAGGAAAAGTTACTTCCTAAAGCTATTGATCTTGAGAAAATATCACAGAAGATTCTTTCTAGAGATGACTAGTCAAGAAAGAAGAAAGTTTCGTAGAGTTTTAAGCCCAGTTTTCTTATCAGCCAAAAGCTATCTACCAATATTTACCTTTTATATTAAAATATTTCAAGCTAAAACTTCTTAATTTTCCTTTTTGCATTCCATAAAAATTTCAAGCGCCCTAAGTTCAGGCCTTCCGAAAAAACCTTGCCTGGCAAACGCCGTGAAAAATGTTAGCCGTCTTGGCCTTTGTAGTTAAGTGGGTGGGTCAGATACGTTGCCTGGATTAACACAAATTGATTTGCTATTAAATTAGGCTCTGGCACATACACTCTGGCACACTCATACTATACTATACACACACACACACACCCACACACACACAGGTGGAAAAACAGTTAAGTGTAAAAGAAGACGCCTTTGGCGCAATGCCAGCAATGCAAAAGTGGGTGGCTCAGTGGTTTTTGGGTGATGATGCCTTTTTCAAATGGGTGTGGTTGCTGTGATAATGATACACACACACACACACACACACACACACACTCTGACACACACACACACGCCAGCTAAAATTGCCCAATTTGTGAGGCAGTTTCGGCTTTGATGTGTGAACAACAGCGGTGCGGAAAAATAAGGAAAATTGAAATGGAAAATGTGCGGCTAAATGGGGTGGTGATGGTAGGCGGCAGGGGGGTTCTGGCGGGCTAAAGATTGGCCATAGCACAGACACTAAATTACACTAACGTGTTTTGAATTATTTTTCAATTTCATTGTCAGCCGCAGACATACGGACAGGCAGGCGGACAGACGGACAGACGGATAACCTACATACGTACTATGAACTACGGATGTACGAAAACGGGACCAACGGACAGACCGACAGAGTGTAGAACTCCGGCCTGTTTCCGCCTCGCATTGTTACATTTCAATTAAGGTTTAGGTTGGGTGATATACATGGGGTTAGGTTAGGTGTGGGTTTTTTTCGGTTTACTATCTCAGAGGCAGGAGGTAGAGAGGCGTGGTAACTGCTACTACAACATGAAACCGCCGCCAGCGCTGGTTTATCATTTAGCAGATATTTCAGTTACCAACAATATTATCAAAGCTTGTGAAACACTGATCCCAAACGAAAATTCCCGCTAGAAAATCAACCTTAAAAAGGTGGTTAAAATGGTCAGCAAAACAGAAGAAGTGTTATAGAAGAAGGAGAGGTAGGATTTAAGTTTAAGTTAAGTTTCTTTCTCTTATTAAAAATCCACTCAAAAGCTGCTAATCCTTATCCTTGCAATCAAATCAATGTCGGGGGTTTTCCTTTTCTAACTGACTATTGGATGTTCTAATTTGTGGCCCCGTCTCTCGTACAACTGTTGTTACAGGCAAGCGCTGATGTCGAACCGAGGGTCCGATTCGGACAAATTGAATCCAACGCATGTTAGCAGTTCGCGGGCACCGCTTCATTTGGGTCATGCCGGTCGTCCGCCACATCTGCATCCCCATGCCGCCCTGCTTGACAATCAGCAGGATGATGATGACAAGCTACTGGACGTCGTGGGTCCACCACAGAGTCCTCTACTCCCGCTCAGCCATTCGCTGCAGCAAATGCACGCCCACCAGCACTCCGGTAAGTTACCAGTCTAAGTTTTAGTTAGTACAAGTTTAGTCCCCCTAAAAGAAAACCCTTTACTAACCTCTAAACCATTTCTATTCTTTGTTTCTACCCAAAACTAGCCTTGGCTGCCTGGTTTAATCACCTGGCTGGAGCCGGAGCTGGAGCCTCAGAACATGCTGCTGCTGCGGCGGCAAATGCCAGTGCGGAGGATGCATTGCGTCGCCGTTTGCAGGCAGATGCCGATGTGGAACGAGATGGCAGCGATTCGAGTTGCTCGGAAAGTGTCGGCGGCAGTACCGGCGGTGCCTTTAGGCCCACCTCGACGGGCAGTCCCAAGGAGGCGGTGGGTGCGGCTGCAGCTGCCGCAGCGGCTGGTTTAAATCCCGGTGGCGGTAGCTATCCATCACCGAATATATCGGTGGGTCCACCCATTCATCCATCGCCGCATTTGTTGCCTTACCTATATCCCCATGGTCTCTATCCACCGCCGCATCTTGGCCTCTTGCATAATCCAGCTGCGGCGGCAGCAATGAGTCCGGCTGGCCTAAATCCGGGCTTGCTGTTCAATGCCCAATTAGCGTTGGCCGCCCAGCATCCGGCTTTGTTTGGTCATGCGTATGCGGCGGCGGGACATACACCGGTATCACCGTTACAAGGCCTAAAGAGTCATCGCTTTTCGCCGTACAGTTTGCCCGGCAGTTTGGGTTCAGCCTTTGATGCCGTTACACCCGGTTCGAATGCCAATCGATCTGGTGATCCTCCAGGTGGCTTAGGTGGTGGCGGTGGCGTTGTGGAGAATGGCCCAAGAAGTCTAAGTTCCAGTCCACGACCACGTCCTGCCTCACATTCGCCACCAACACGACCGATATCAATGTCACCCACAACGCCGCCATCTCTGATGAAACAACCACGTGGTGGTGGTGGTTCTAGTGGTGTGCCTCAATCTCAGCATTCACCTTCGGAACTGAAGAGCATGGAGAAGATGGTCAATGGCCTGGAGGTTCAACATAATGGCAGTGCAGCGGCAGCAGCGGCGGCTCTTCAATTAGCCGAAGAGGCTGCCCAGCATCATCATCATACCCAGGCACACCACCAACAGCAGCAGCAGCAGCATCAACAGCATCACCACCAGCAACAACAACAACAACAACAGGCACATCCGCACCATCAGACCCACCATCAGACGCACCTACACTCGCACCATGGAGCGACAACGGGTGGTGGGGATCAGTGACAATTACTGGACGGTCGCTCCGATTGTGAGGATGGCGGCCTGGAATTAGAATTGGAATTAGAAGAGGATGTCGATGATCAGGATCAGGATGTTGATGACCAGGACGAGGATCGCAGTTCAGTGATTGATCTCGATTTGGATGTCGATGTCTGACCGCGAACGGATCAGCGAGACAGTCTCTAGCCTCTGAACTACACAGCCACCGTTTATGTGGTTTAGCCCGGAGTTGTATATAAAAATCTCTTTATATGAATGAAAGATGAACGATTTTTTTTTGGAACCTAGCATTTAGGCATTTGTAGCATACTATATATATGGTATATATATATTCCTCTCTTGGATAAGTCACTCTGCCTGTTTATTGACGGATAAATATTTTTTTTTTTTTTCATTGTCTCGTTTCTAAGCAAAGCCTAGGCCCATAGAAATCACTGGCAATAGACAGGCAAAGTGCAGGAGAGGTTTATTAAAAAGAAAAAAGCAAAAACTAAAACAAAAACATTAAGAAAAAAAAAACAACATTAAGACAGGAAAATGTTAAGGGGACACGTGGCAAAGCAAAAAAGAAGGATAAAAGCTCCCCTTGAAAGGGTCAAAAGAAAGAAAAACTTCAAGCCAAGAGAGACAGGCAGAGGAAGTAAAAATGAAAATGAAAAAAAGTATAAAAAATAAACTTAAAAAATATATATAAATAAAATAAAAAGAAAATTAAATAAAATAAAAGCAAAAATGAAGGACAAAGAGAGCTCCGCCTCAGACAAATTTATAAAAGGCATATAAAAAAAACCCCCCACATATATATGTATATTGATTGATCGATTGAGAAAAAGCAACATCAAAGATGGCGCCTCTTTATATACATAAATCTAGAACCCATATATATATATATATATATAAACAAATATATATATATATATATAGTATATATAGAAGCTGATATATATACAGATTGTAACCTTAGTAAAAACCTACAACACGGAAAATGAAAAGAAAACAAAAACCAACAAAAACCCAAAAAAAAAACAAAAAAAAATACCACAAAAAAAAACAAAAAGAAATACAAAATAAATGCAATTTTTTTTCTTAGTCTTAGGTGGATGAAACATTTTTTTTTTTAGTAAACGTAAATAAAACCTATATACATAGAAATATATATATATATATATATACATGGATAATTTATGTAGCTCTTAAGTACCCAGATACCGTAAACACTCAAACAAGACGAACGAACACACACACACACACACACACATGCAGCACCCACCCAGCTCCCCTACCCCAACACACTCACACACATCACACACACACACACCAGTGACGTATGTTTTCTTCGTAGACGATGGAAAATGCTTAAAAAAAAAATAAACTTGAAAAATCATTAAACTATTATAAACAATGAGAGCTTGAGTTTTCCTAATTTAAACTTAATTAATATTTTTTTTTTTATTTTTTTTTTTTTTTTTTTTTTTAATTTTATTTTTAAGTTCTAAAAAAAACCAAAGAAGAAAGTAATCAATTTTTTTTCTCGTATTTTATTTGTAATTTTGGAACCCTCCCTGAGATGCTAGTTTAGGGCACGAGTTCTGTGTGTGTTTTATTATCATAAAGATATATATATATATATATTTATATACCAATATACCGATATATATATATATACCATAAACATAAAAAAATCTAATTTTTTTTTATTAGTAAAGTACAGTTTTTTTTTTTGTGTAAGAAAAGGTTTTCAATTTATAAAAACGAAAAAAAAAGAAAAATAAAAGTTGAATTCAACGCATGTTCCTCGCATAATTTAAGAGAGAGAGCGACAAATATGCAGCTAACAGAAACAGACACAGACCCAAACACACCACTCACACACCTTCCTCGCACAACCAACACTAAGACACACACACATATACCATACACCAACACAAGTAAAGAGAAAGAGCGAGAAAGAAAAAAAAATACAAAGAAAATTCACAAAAAAAAGAAAGAAATATTAAAATAAATTTCTGTAGCAATTTGTTTTCCTTGTAATCCCCAATAATAAAATGCAACAACAAAAAACACACACAACAACAACAACATCATCATCATCATCATCATTAACTCCATCATCATCATTATCACGCGAGAAAGAGAAGTAATTTTTTTTTTCTGTTGGTTGGTTAGCTGTTTTTTGGAAAAATAAATTATACGCAAAAGCAATATTAATTATAGTTAATTAAATTTAAAAAACAAAAGCAAACAAAACCCATAACAACAACAACAAGAACAGCAAACAACAACATCAAAAACAACAACAACAAGAACAAATTATGTACGAAAGGATATATATTTAAATATATATATGTATATGGATAAAATTAATGAAGAAGCAACAACACCTCATGTCACTGCAATTATATATATATATATAAAATTAATTAAACAACAACAAAACAAAGGAAATTAAATAAAAATTATTACTAAAAAAAAAAAAAAAAAACAAACAAACAAACAAATATTGAATTTTCAACAAATATTTAATGGTAATGGGAAGAACAACAACAAAAACAACGCTGGCCAAAAAAAAACATGCAATGGAAATCATGTTCGTGTTTTCATTAGTTTTTCCCCGCTTATTTTTTTTTGGATTTAATTTTGTGTGATTTTCTGGGCTTATTGTTTGTTGTCTGGTCACAGGATTTCCAACTTCTGCAGCATCCCTAACCCCCCGCCCTCTTTACAACCAAAATGAGCAGCGCCAACGGGAATATTAAATAAATGAATAAATAAATAGCAAGCAGCAAGCAGCATCAGCGGAGGCTGGTAAACAGTGCGTGTCATAATTAAATGTACTGCCAGGCAATTGTCTGGCTGGCCAAGCTGAACAGGGTTGCCAGGCGATGGCGCGAATCTGGGGGATTTACTGGACCAGGCTTTGCACTCATTTGTGGTTGCAACAAAAAAAAATCCCTTTTGATCATAAAAATATTGGTGTTTAAAGTAACGATTCAAAAAAAATTAAAATCTCTATTAGTTTATAATTTGTATTTAAAATTAAGAACTATCAAACTCCCCTTCTTGACTTTCTCTTCTTTACTCAAATCTCTTCCTTAAATTTCCTTAACTTCTTAATTGGTTTTTCCTTCAACTACCGCTTATCTACACCCTCAATTTGAAAAGTTTCTTTGACTTTTTCCGGCTCTCCTAATCGAATGACGCTGATGGGCCATGCTCAAGGACTTGGCCCAAACTTGATGGCCGGATATCGGAAGGTGTAAACACATTTAATTTAATAAAAACCAACTTTGTCTGTGGCTTCATTTAGTTTTTTTTTTGGGTTAATCCAAAGCAGCGATTATCAACGGGCATGGCTAAGCCAAGCGTTAAGCCAACTGGCTAATAGAATTTGGCACGAAACTCTAAAAGAGATAACGTTGGATTACGGCGTATTTGTATTTGTATTTGTATTATTTTTAGAGCCGTAATTGAATGCCCGCATGCGGGATATATACTATATATATATATAGATACAGTCTGAAATTGAGTTGGTTATGCCCGACTGGAAGCGGTTGTAAATTGTAACGCTTCACTAGCAAAAGGCGCAAAGAGTTTAAGTGCGGCCGTAAAAGCTGCAGGAGGAAAAACGAACCCCCTTACCCCTTACCCTAATTTTATTAACCCTTTTTGGCCTTTTTTGCCTTTTTGCCCACGCACTGTGAAGTCTTTTACTGGGCCACAGAAGTCAAATGTAGAAAGAAAGAGAATTGAATGCCCGAACATAAATTACGTATTATTAATTGCCACCGCCGTTTGCTGTCGCCAGCGTCACCAATGTCACCAATGTCACCAATGTCACCCCCCAAAAAACCGTCAACCTCTAACCAACTGTTCGGTTCGACAAAAAGGGGTTATGTCGATGTTGACAACAACAATAGATAACCTCCTCCACCTCCAACGTATCCATATCACAAATCACCTCACACCATCTCTCCATCCCACGCACTTGACTCATTTCCCGTGCAAGTTACAAGTATCATTTTGTGAGAATTAAGTTAAGACTAAATACAGTCTTCAGTGTCAGCATAGATCTTCAGAAATCTTCAGATTTATCAGAAATTAAAAGGGTTATAGATTTTTCCATATTATATATATTCGACACCTCATAACTCGGCTAATACTAATCGGATCATGGATTGTTATACCTTCTAGGACTCAGCGCAACGTCTACTTTTATATTCTTTTATAAACTAAAATTGCTTATTTTTATAATATTTTTTTCAAAGTTAGAGTTCAGGTTTTTAACATGAAAATGGGTAAAAAAAATTCGAAAATAATCCAAAATTGGAAATGTTTAAAGAATTAAATCAACAACTCATAGAGATATTCCACTCTAAAATCGCGTTATTACAAGTCAAGTTATGGGTTCTACAAGCTCCGTTTTAAGTTCCTCTTTACGGGTTAGTTGGGTGACAGATTCCAAAAAAAAGGAATTTAAGGTTTTACAGGAAAATGGGTTAAAATTTTCTAAAATAAACCTTGAATGCAGATGTTTAGAGAATAAAATTACCAACTCATAGAGATATACAACTCTAAAATCGGCTTATTATTGGTCAAGTTGTGGTATTTACAAATCAGGTTTGGGCTTACATTTTCGCAGTAAGTTCGTGAAAGATTAAAAAAAAAACGGAAATTAAAGTTTTTACATAAAAATCGGTTCAAAAACTCAAAAATAAACCTTTAATGCAGTTGTTTAGGGAATTTAAGTACAAAATCTTAGAGATATCCCACTCTCAAGTCGGAATACTATTAGTCACGTTATGGGATCCGCAAGTTCAGTTTTGGGGCACTTTTAAAGGTTAATGACTGACAGATTCCGAAAATTGGAATTTTAGGTTTTACAGGAAAATGGATCAAAATTTTCGAAAATAAACTTTGAATGCAGAAGTTTAGAGAATTAAATTACAAATTCTTGGAGATATTCCACTCTGAAATCGGGTAATAATTGGCCGAGTTATAGGATCTACAAGTTAGGTTTGGGATCACATTTCTGCAGCAAGTAGCTTAAGTAGAGGTGCTAAAAAACAGAAATGCAAGTTCCTATAAGAAAAAGGTTTAAAAAATCCAAAAATAAACCTTGAATGCAGTTGTTCAGAGAATTTAATAAAAAACTCTTAGAGGTATCCCACTCTCAAATCGAAATACTATTAATAAAGTTAAGAGATCTGCAAGTTCAGTTTTGAGTCACCATTACGGGTTAGTAGGTGACAGATTTCGAAAATTGGAATTTAAGGTTTTACAGGAAAATGGATCAAAATTTCCGAAAATAAACCTTGAATGCAGTTGTTCAGAGAATTTAATAACAAATTCTTCGAGATATTCCACTCTTAAATCGAAATATTATTGGCCGAGTTATAGGATCTACAAGTTAGGTTTGGGATCACATTTCTGCAGCAAGTGGCTTAAGTAGAGATGCTAAAAAACAGAAATGCAAGTTCCTATAAGAAAAAGGTTTAAAAAATCCAAAAATAAACCTTGAATGCAGTTGTTCAGAGAATTTAATAAAAAACTCTTAGAGGTATCCCACTCTCAAATCGAAATACTATTAATAAAGTTAAGAGATCTGCAAGTCTAGTTTTAGGTCACCTTTACGGGTTAGTAGGTGACAGATTCCGAAAAATGGAAATTAAGGATTTAAACGAAAATGGATCAAAATTTCCGAAAATAAACCTTGAATGTAGATGTTTAGAGAATTAAATTACAAATTCTTGGAGATATTCCACACTGAAATCGAAATATTATTGGTCATCTTATAGGATCTACAAGTTAAGTTTGGGATCACATTTCTGCAGTAAGTAGGTTAAGTAGAGATGCTAATAAACGAAAATGCAAGTTCTTACAAGAAAAAGTTTTAAAAAATCCAAAAAAAAACCTTGAATGCAGTTGTTCAGAGAATTTAATAACAAAC